CCCCAACTCTGGGCTCCCTGTCATTTCTTCCCCAAACACTAAATCACTGAAAATTATCATCATAACTCCTTAAACTCAGTGGCTCTCACATTGAGGAGAGAGGGTTATAGTGAGCAGATTAGTATGTGAAGCAAAACTAAATGTGGCCCGGAGCATGGCTTCGTACTCAGAGCTGGCTAACTATTCTCTGACAAATGAGCCATCTTTTGACCTTGGAGAGAGCAAGCCAGGAATGGGATAGAATTCCAAAGAAGTCAGGATAGTTAGAAGAAAAAAAATATCAGCTTACCACTAATGTCCATTCCAACTGAGACCCTTTCTAACCTTGTTACCTAGAAGGTCCTTTTTTCCCATATGCGGTCTTAAGTAGAAGAAAAGTGTTATTGATGGAGCTTGCTTCTTTTCCCCTTTTCCTTTTCATTCTTTTTCTTTGAGAGGGTTCTGTTGTTTAGGATGGCCTGAAATTTGTGGTTCTCCTGCATCCTAAGTAGCTGGGATTACAGACACTCTTCTTCATGCCCAGCCTGATAGAGCATCTTAATAGGCACATTTTCTTTACTACTTTTTTTTATTAAAAGGAGAAAGGGCTAAAACTGTGCCTCTAATTTGGCTGGGCCAACTGAACTTCTTCATCCCAAAAAAGAATTTCCTCCTATGAAAAATTAATTTAGAATAAATGGAAAAGGAAAAGCAAGAAAATCCTTAGAATTAAACATAGAATCATTTAAGATAAGGCAAAGTTCTTAGAATATCAAAAATGATTGATATATCTCTCTATATATCTCACTCAGCCTCATATATTACCTACCTATCAATCAATCAGTCAATCAAATATACCTACCAATCAGTCAGTCAATCATTTTTTATGTTCTAAGAACTCTGCCATATACATATATATATACATACATATATATAATATATATATATATATATATATGAATGAATGAGATGGCTCAGTGAAGCGCAGTGGCTGCTCTTGTAGATGATCCAGGTTTGGTTCACAGTACCCATGTGATGGCTGACAGTCATCCCTAACTCTAGTTCTAGGGAATCCAGTGCTGTCTCTGAGGGCACTGCATGCATGTGGTATACTTACATGCCATGAAGACACTTGGTACACACAAAAATAATAAACAAACAAACAAGCAAGCACTTTAAATGGGGCTGAGGACATGGCTCAGTGGTCAAGAGCATTTGCTGTTGTTGCAGAGGACCCAGGTTTGGGTCTCAGCAGCCACATGGCCACTCACACCTCTCTATAACTCCATTCCAGGGTGTTGGATGCCCTCTTCTGGCCTCTGCTTGCACCAGGCACACAGCGGGTACACATACATGCATATATATAGGCAAAACACTCATACACATAAAATAAATGAATCTTTAAAAGTAAACCACTTTATTTTAAAAGACAAAAAATGATGACTTGGTCCTCACCACATTACAAACTTTTGTTCTGTGAACGATACTGTTAAAATGTAAACAAGATACACAGTTGGTAAATAAACATATGAGAATGGTGTTCGGCATTTTTCCATATTCAAGAAGAGCAGGTTAGAACTACAAGAAGCCATTACATGTCCTTCAGCTTCTGAAATAAAATAGTAATAATTCCCAGCATTCACAAGGATGTAGGTTAGTTGGAACTCTCATACATTGCTGGTTCAGATTGCAAACTGATACAGCACTCTAAAAATAGTTTGGCAGTTTCTTTACAAGTTAAACATATACATAGCATTTCACCCAGTATTTGATCTAGAGAAATAAAGTTCACACAGAAATATTAACAAATATTTGTTGTAGCATTATTCATGATTACCCAAATCTTGAAATAATCCAAATGTTCTTGAATGGGTAAATGGATAGATTTATATCCCTCAGTGGAATACTACTTAGTAATAGATAATAGACTATATATAAGATGAATGAATATGTTAAGATGAAAAGGCCATTCTTATGATTATATATTATAGGACTGATGATGACTGTTTGCCAGGGGCTAGGAGGTGAGGTGTGTCTGACTTCAGAAGGGTGTTAGAGTTCTTACCCAATTTGTAGAGGTGGTAACAAGATGCTGTACATTTGTTAAAGCTTACAGAACTTAAGCTAGGTATAGTGGTACACACCTGTAATCCTAGCAATTGGGATACAGAGGCAGGCAGAGCTCAGTGAGTTCAAGGCCAGCCTGGTGAGGTCCTGTCTCAAAAACAACAAAGCAACTTATAGAATTTAAGATTAAAAGAAAAAAAAATTAGTTTGGGTTAAGTGGTGCATGCCTTTAACCCCAGCACTGGAGAGGCAGAGGCAGATCTCTTGTGAGATTGAGGCCAGCCTAGTTTCTATAGTGAGTCCAGGCCAACTGGGGCTACAGGGAGACCCTGTCTTTAAAAAAAAAAAAAAAAAAAAAAATCCCCCCCCCACACACACACATACATTCATCCTTGAAGATTATACAAAATAGTTCCTATGTATTTGTCAAAGCTTGGTCATACACTTAACATTTTTGTGCTTCACTGCATCTAAATACTACCTCACCTAAAAATAAAGCATTGTAAACAAAAAGTTTGGAGGAGGAGCTGGAGAGATGGTTCAGCAATTAAGAGCATTGGCTGCTCTTCCTGAGGCCCTGGGTTCGCTTCCTCAGGACCTATGGCTGCTAACAACCTTATGTAAGTCCAGTTCCAGGGGAATCTGATGCCCTCTTCTGTCCTTCTCTGGCATTGCATGACACAGGTGCACTTACATACATGTGGGCAATACACTCATACACATAAAATAAAAATAAGTACAAATTTTTTAAAATTAAAAAAATTGGAGGGTAGAAGAGAAATATTTATTCTGATTAGTAAAAGTGTAGCCTGAAGTATAAAAATAGGATTTATTTGTTATGCCGTCTTAGCAGGCATCATGCTGCCTGCTTGCTTAATCTTGTTGATTCACTGATAATTTCTTCCTAATAATGATGGGTCCCTTCTGACCACATGCTAGCTCAGAGCTCTTTGGTCATCTTTCTCTACCCCGTGTCAGTACAGATTCATCCTGCCTCCCTTGTCTTTGCCTTTGCTCACAGTTGTTTCTTCTCTCTCATCTGTTGACAAGGGGGAAAATCTATTGAGCATTCTCAATGAGTTTGTCACATTTAGGATTTACTCATTCATAAATTATTTTTTGACCAGCACTAGTTGTGATAGTCTTTGAACCTTAGAAAACAAATTAGCAACCTTTATCATAGACATGGACAGTTTGTAGTTCTGCATATGGGTTGAATAGATATACTGCCCTTTGCTGTGGGTGACAGATGATGATGTCAGATTAAATTTAAATTGATCTCTTCACAGTGCTTATCTCTGGTGCATGTGCAATTGCTTCAGCAGCAGAGAACCTTTCAGAGGTTCTGTCAATACAGCTACCTGACAGTCATTTGTTTTGTAAACTGTGCATTTGGCACCTGCTGGTCTCTGTTGCATTGGAGCTAGTGGGGAGCCAAAATGGGTGTACAATGAAGTTATTGGTTGGCACATCTCAGTGGGAGTTATTGAAGGGAAGAAACAGCACTTCCAGGATCTCAAGAGAGAATAAAGAGAAAAAGAAACTGGTAATGTTAACACAAGCTAGCTATTCTTTACTACCAAAAGAAATTCTTTGTAAAGTCAGGATGTTCCGCCTTAGGAACTAAAGTGTGTGTGTGAGACTGCAGTTCATTCTTTTATCAGACACAAAAACAATGGGTTCCTATTTAAAGTGTATAATGAATGTCCAGAAGCACCAAACTAGTGGCAGAAGGCAGAGAAGCATAATTATGCAATGGAAAGGAAATGCTTAATTTCTCAAGAAGTGTGAATTAAAATGCCTCTTTCACTTATCAAATTAGCAAATCAAACCTCTGCTTCAAAAACCATATTGGCAAGATTCCAAAAAACAAGTCAATGGATAACAAAGATTGGTTTTATAGGTATCATTTACCCATACTTTGTCAAAAGTTATTTATTCTTGAATGTAATGGACCTGTGCTGTCAGATACAACTCAAGGGAATGATTCCAAAGAAAGCCTGATACATAAGTCTTCTTTGCTCCCAGTGGTGTGTGCTGCAGTCAGGATGCTGCAGATCTACTCTCACACCATCACCGATTAGAGAAACAATGGCCAGAGGGTGGAGTGATGTTTGTTGTGATACCATTTCCTCAGAACGGTTAAAGAGAATGCCTTTGGACATTTGCAAAGAAGACCTACAAAACTAAACAAAATATGGGAAATCCCACAGAAATGTTTTCCTAAAGCTGTGTAATAGCCAGAAGTTCTTTGTTTTTCCAAAGAACTGCACATGTGGTTGAAGTTGGAAAGACTTCTCCCTGCACTTAGGCGGGAAATGTAAAGATTGTATCCTAGCTTAGATAAATTTCACAAAACTGGCTCTTAATAGAATCAGATAGCCAAATGGACTCACTACCGGTTAAGGCTTTAGAGGATCCATCACACTGACACTGAGTTCAAATGCAACTAGACACTCAATGGTGCTTAGTTTTGTTCTAGGGTCTTAGTAGTGTACTGGTTATAAAATGGAGCAGTTTTAAGTGATCAGCCTCTAATGATACTTTTTCTTTGAGATATTTTTAGTATGATTTTTGTAATATATAGCTTTTTGTTTATATATATATGAAAGTATATGAAAAAATGTTTATAGAAACCATGGAAGTGTCTACTAATAAAGGGTAATAAAATACATTTGGATACAGCATCTTGAGAGATGGTAGTGCCTGTATTAAAATACTAAGTATAGAAATTGTTCTACAAAATAAGTGAAAAACTTAGAACATAAAACTAGTGTCTAGGCATGCAAAATGTTTGACAGTTCCTGACCTATAATAGTTATGGTAAGATTGGTGGGGTTGTAGTAAAATCTTTATAGTTTTGTTTTAAAATTTTTTTAACACTAGTGAACTAGGGGTAGTAAGCTCATTTTAGCAGTTTAACTCAAATATCTACTTCTTGCCTCTGACTTTAGAACTCCTGGAAAACTTAAGCAGTTCGTCTTTGACTTACATTCTGGGAAACTGCACAGAGAATTCCATCATGGACCTGACCCAACTGATACAGCCCCAGGAGAGGTAGGATTGTATGTGTTTGTCATTAAGGATTCTTGTCTGTCTCAGTTTCAAAGAGGAGTTTCAGCTCCTGAGTATCTTTATGTAGAAATTCTGAACTAACTGTAGAAAATATTCAAGTTGTGCTCCTTCAAAATTTTTTTAATTTAAGGCCTACAGAGAAGTTGCAGAATATTATATATAATTTTTCAGTCATCTAAACTAAGTTTGTCTGAGGATGATCTCTGTGGAGTATGGCTATCCAAGGGTTAAGTACTGTTGGCTTCAGATAAAAGTAGGAAGTAAGAATTGGGAGAAGATAGATGAGTAAGCAAATCGGTGGGTTCCAGTAATTGACCGGGCTTGCTTTTGTGGCTGGATGATTGACCACACTGTAAAGAAAGTAATGATTGGTTAGTCTTACTAAACCATTTAAGAGCCTTCACCAATATAGTATTGATAATGCTCAAAACTAGGGTTTAACACAGCTTTCCCACTTGTGATTTAGAATGCTGGACAACTATTTATCAAAATATTATATTTGCTTTTATGCATATATAAATTCTCAATTAAAATGTTATATAGATTGATGAATAGGGAGGTAGATTCTCAGGATAGATGAGTTTTAAATCTTGAGAATTTTGTTATTTTTGCATGTAACTTCTGTTACAAGTAATTTCTGTGTTCCTGCTTTATGGAAGAGTCCTAAATTTGCATTTTGAAATGACAGTATTTATATTATGCCTGTGACCAGGGAACTAATGGGAAACTGGAACCTCTTTTTGTATGCCTAGAGCATGAGTCCATTGTTTACAAAGAACTTCCATATAGGAAAGACAAACAAAAACTAAATTCTCTTTACCTTATTTAGGAATCAGATTAGGTTCAGAATCAAAAGTTCTCTTAGGAATTGGATAATATGTTTTTTGGGTGTTTTTCCTTCGTGAATGAGCTGAGAATTTTTGATTGTTAAGCAGCTGTGAAAGGAGGCAAACTTGTTATTGGCAATAACCCAAACAGTGCTCTATAAGATCAGGGAAAGATAGAGCCTGTCATCATTGTATTGCTCTGATTTGTTTGTTTTGCCCTTAGATAGTGGACTCCTTGTGTTTTACTTATTGATGTTTGTGTGCTAAGACGTACTGTGTACAAAATACTGTAAATGTTTATTTTATAGTAATAAAATTTCAGCATAAGAATGTATCTCATTAGATTTTACCATTTAAACAAATTAGTGAATATAAAGTCTCAAAATAAACCTACTTTTTTCGTCGTTGACCTTTTCAGGTATCTAAATAAATACTGCTGTGTACTGCAAAAAAAGTATCTCAGCAAAAACAAAACAAAATAAACAATTATTTGGAAAGTAGAGACTGACAAGGTCAAATGTGGGTTTGTAGAAACATTGCTTTGTTTTCATTGGAACATGCTAATACATGTGTGTCCTGCAATGCAGCACATGCCTGTACATTATAGATACTGTCAAAGTGGTGGCGGGTGGGCTTGCTCTTGCGGTGCCCACATGCCAAGGGGAAATTCAGGCTGCACTGCCTTTTCCTTAAAATTCTTGCAAGTCACTTTGTAGTTTCACTGTATTTTTGTCTGCCGTGGGTACATAAGTATTATGGAAATTTATTTTAGTATTGTATGCTTTTCCTCATTTCAGCCAAGTTTTAGTAATTTCTGGCATCTAGATACTTGATAAATTGCAGCTTTATTAACAAAGTAGGCATTGCTCATATCAAGTGCAATTCCTCTTAGTAGTCTTTTGTTAAGAGTGAAGGGTTAGGACCAAACGAGGGGTGCTGGCTCTATGGGATTCTCTAGAAAGCACCCGGGTTTTTTGTTTTGTTTTCTTCTACCTCACCTCAGTAAAATGTGACAGGTCCAGAGTCAATGGCCCTGTGGCAGCCATGCCCTGAACCGTCTGAGTAGGTGCATTTGAAATGAGAAAGCAAGATGGCAAACGTACTGCTCGTCTTTGGCCCAGTTGCTCTCTTTTGTTAATATGCAAGTGATTATAAGGCAACTACCAGTCATCTGATATTGAAATCTTATAATCCCATAAAACATTTTGGTACAAAGATGTTTTGTTCTTTCTTTTGTAGCAAGACCAAGATGTAGCAAGCAGTCCTCCAGAGAGCTCCTTCCAGAAACTAGCACCCAGCGAATATAGGTATACTTTATTGAGAGATCGAGATGAGCTTTAAAAACTTGAAAAACAATTTGCAAGCCTTTCAACAGCAGCATCGGCTTCCATGGTGGAAATAGTAAACCTATATTTTCATAATTCTATGTGTATTTTTATTTTGAATAAATTGAAAGAAGTTTTGGGTTTTTAATTTTTTTTCTCCCCCTAACTCAAAATACATTGTCATTTAATATAGCCTCTTTTTAAAAAAAGTCTGCTAGGTTTAGAAAAAATAAAAACAAGAGGCCTGTCTTCACTTTACATCTGTCCTACACAGTCTTTATAATTCCAGTGAAGGTAGCATTGCCAGAATCGTAACGCTAACCCTCACTGCCATTGTGGGGGCAGGGAGAATGCAGGCCTGTTCCGATAGTGTGTGCTTTTCCTTTTCTTTTCATATGACCAATTCTGTGGTATTTTCATTATCACATTTATGAAAGCTAAGGGGATATATATTCTGGAGACTTGGGAGGGGAATAAATTAAAATTTTCACACTGTGTACTGTGTTGTACTGATTGGTTGGGTATTGCTGATGAAAATTCCACAGCAGTACTTTTTGGATTCTTAATGTGTAATTTAAACATACTATGAAGAGGAGGGGAGCCATAAGCCAGAACATTTGGCAGAAATTGTCCTTATGAATTAAGAAAGAGAAAATGAAAGTATTATTAAATTTCTATGTATTTGTCTAAGAAAGCAGCATATGGGTGGCATTTAAATCTTTGAACAAATTAAACCTAAATTTGGGATACTAGTGGAGCAGGTTACTAGTATTGAACTAGACAACTTTTAAAGCTGTTCCTATCATGAGACTTTAGTTTTCAAAGAAAAAAACCAGCAGAGAAATTACATTTCAATTATTGTAAGCTTCCATCTGTCTTTTGTAGAGTTTTGTTACAGTTTTGTAGATCAAAGGCAAAGATAATAAGGAACATACGTATTTCATTTTTCTCCTGTTGTAAACTATTGTAAATTGCTAGAGATGCCTCCTCCTCTAGCTTCCCTGCTTTCCCAGGCCTGCAGTGTACAGTCAGATGGTCCCTGTGCCAGGCCTCAATACTGCTGGGGGTAAAAGCAGAGGGAGAGGACCCTCCATGTCATATCAGGAATCCCAATGCCAGAGGACAGACAGGCTCAAAATTGGCTTTCCTCTGGGCCTGGGTGTGGTGCTATAGGCCAAGGGTCATTTTATACTTGAGGTATAAATCAGTCCCGGTTTGGGGAGATATTATTTTTAAGCTTAAAAGGTTGACATGTGCCATTAATATGTAGTATGTAATATATGTAACAGCTTCCAATCCTTTTAAAATAAAATGAATATTTATAATGGATATTTAATAATTGTTATTTTTAAAAATCACTTTCCAGTTCTTACTATGCATGACTTTATCCATAGTTTCCATAGTTTTACTCAGAAAAATAAATGTTAATGAGGTGATAAGGAACATGTTTAGAATATTTTACTGGATTGTGACTGGAACACTAGGCAGAGCTTTCTAGTGGTTGGCCTTAGTTGTGTCCCCTCATTGCTTTTAATCAGTATCCTGAATCCAGTCAGAGTGTGGTCTTCAGTCAGAAGACAAACCAAATCTGAAAGGTTCAGAATGGCAATGTAAGTATACAGTGTGCTCACACATAGGATCAGTAGCAGTACATACAATCAATTGTAATAAACTTGTGATCCAATAATTAATTAGGTTTGAAAAAGGTAACAAAATATACTACTTAGATTTTAGGGTGCAGACAGCTAGCTTGGGAGTAGTTATAAGAAAAAGGCCCCAAGGAGTAGATATTCAGTGTAGCCTATAATCAAAGGTGGTTTAAAGTGAGGGACTAGAGGATGTATTATTTAGCATCCATGCATAGTGAGATGTGGGACTGTAGCCTGCCACTGCTGCTGTTTTCCTAGACTGAGAAGCCACTGAAGATGGTGGTACTGAACCTTACGTCTATTTTTAGGGTACACCTACCATTTTTGGACATTTTAATAGTCATCAAATGTTTATTGAGTGAACGATAAACAATTACCTTGGGTAATCTTTATACCGTTGAAGGTGCTCAGCACTCACTAGGACTTGATGCCCATTTTTAGAAAAGGTTATTAAACAAGGTCAAGTGCATTCCATGAAAGGACAGCTTAGGATAATAAAAGATCTTAAAACATAAGTGCTAGCCCTGTTTTTCTTAGAGAAAACTGGGTTCTGAAAGCAGTGTTGATATTTGAAGGGTTGGCATTGTTTTTCAGGAACCCAGAGGTTGGATTAGAATTGGAGGAGATCATGGCGAAGTCGATTTCAGTCAACAGCTACTCAAAGAAGTTTTTGGGTGCTATAACTGCTCCTCTAGAGTTGCTTATAGTCTTCAGAACAATGGCTATATACTTAATCACTGTAATAGGTGTTGTAGATGTAAAGACAGAATGAAATGTAGGTTAATGTGGCTGGTATAATGGAGCACCAAGTTCCAAAGATTCATTTGAGTTTGCTGAGGTTTTAAAAGATGAATAGGTGTTCTCCAGGAGGTAGGAATTGGAGTGGACACGCTGATGTGCATAAAGGTATGAAACAGTATTATTCACTAGAAAAAGAGTACTTGCAGGAAGGCTACCTCATTGGAGGCCGGGGGACATGAGAACAACATGGGCTGGTCACACAGGCCTTGTATGCTAGAGTAACAGGTTCACACTGCATGTTTCAAGTCTTGGAGATCTGTTAGGTCTTTAGCAGGGGCAGAACATTCACATTGAGAACAAATGCTTCAGACCTTAACACTTCCCTCTGAACCATGAAATCATTGCTGTAGAAGTTGCCTCAGTTTACCCAGTCTGTCCTGGGCCTTAGGCTTTTCAGCTGTGGCGTTAGAGGATGTCAAGCTGTACTGAAGAACGCAGTTGAGCAGCAGAAAACCAGAAGCCAGCCTTTCTGCCTAGGTTCCTTTTCCAGAGTGATTGATAAGACACCCAACGTCCACCTTCCATGTGCACACAAGTATGTGCAGCCACACATGTACACAAACACCACGCACACAATAAATAGGAATTAGAACATTTAAGTGAACCTAGAAAGGAAGGGAGACAGTATCTGAAGTGTCTCGTGGAGGGCTCGCCAATGAAATTGGGTGGTCAGAGATCATGTGCAAAAGAAGGGGAGCTGGCGTGCTAAAAGCTACAATGAGGGCTGTGCGGTACAAAGCAGTGTTTGAATGGGTAATGCTTAGAATGAACTCAAATTGATGGAAAGTGCTAAGATTCCCAAGGAAGCCTTTTTAACAAACCTGCATCAAGGCAAAAAGAAGAATGGATAAAGTGGTGTAATGGACTGGTGACTGGGAAAAGCAGAATATTCAACTTTGATTTTTTTCTTTGACAGAGCTACAGTCTGGTTGATATAAAGTTTAAAAAACAAAAAAGAAAATCTTGTCACCTTAAGTGATTTCAAGGCTGTTGGGCCCACACTCTACCTACAAGGTACTAGATGGTACAAATGCTGTTAACAACTACTGGGAATTTTCAAGGAATCATGGGAATATAAGGTTACAGAAGACTGGACATGGGCAGTTTTCCAGTTTCCCAAATAATCATGGCTAATGGCATTAGCTTTTGTGTTAAATAAAGGCTTTCGAACAAACTGAAATGTCAGTTTCTGTTTGGGGGTAAAATTTAGATACTGTAAAGGAATAAACAGTGATCATCTTTCAAAGCCAGTATTTAAAGATTCCGATGAGAAGTCATCACATTCAGTTGCTCGGTGCTGATTATAACTTGCCTGTGTGTTCAATGAGAAAGGACCTCTGCTTAGCAATTTTTAAAACTCTGTTTGAAGCTTTGTATGCATTTCCAGGTAATAAAACTATATTTGTAAAGTTTATATTTGAGGCTTTTTATTAATTTCAAAAATAACACACTGAATCTTTTACTCAGAATATTGATGAGCCATTGTACTTGACTCAGAATGGGAAACTGAGTTCATGTACAGATAACACACACCCAACCTTCTCCCAAAGCATCAGAACACCAGGGAAAGGCTGGACTGTGTAGACACTGGGGTTTGAACTCTGGAAAAGTGCTGCTCACAACTGCTTCTCTAAAATAAAGCACCACCACCACACACCTTACCTTGCTAGGAATTCATTCTTCAGCGCCTAGGACAAGTGTCACCCCCTCCCCCAGTCCCATAGCCTTTGCATATTCTGATTAGCACCTTTGAACGCAGGCTAAGAGGAATGCAAGAGTGCGGTCCTTGTGTCCTAGCCACTTGGTACACCAGAACTCAGAAGTCTCTGATGGGAAAAAGAAAAGCAAACTGTCACTATAACCGGAATGGACTCTGCTAGGTATCTGATAATTTTTTCAGTCACAAATGTCATCTGAGTGACTCTAGACACCTTCAATACTATGTTCTAAGCCAGCCTTGAGCTCCTAAGACTGCCAAGAATAAAGACTTACAGGACCCACCAACCTAGAGATACATAACTATCAGAAATGACACTCAAGGGCCCTCTAGGCAATACAGTTCCTCGGGTTCTGGGAGTCTTCTAACTCCACATTCTCTGTAAGATAGATCTGACCCCTAGTTTAGTTACTTGTTCTCTTAGGTAATAATGAGTTAACAGAAATGCATAGGGCTGGAGAGATGGCTCACTGGTTAAGCGCAGTGGCTGCCCTTGCAGAGGACCCATGTTCAATTCCTAGCACCCACGTGGCAGCTAACAACCATCTAACTCCAGTTTCAGGGACTCCAATGCCCTCCTCTAGCTTCCATGGGCCATTACACAACACAGGTGCATACAGGCAATACACTCATACACATAAAAATTTTTTAAATGCCACATTATTTACAAGTTCATCATTCAGTAAGTATGAATTACTGTTTCCAGGCTAAAGACTGAGGACTTAACAAACTGCCCCTCCCATTATGAAGCTGAACATTGAATGAAGATGGTTATAATTGAATGTAAGTGCTATGGTATAAGCCACAGGGGACAGGGAGCCTTCAAAGACTAGAACAGAAAGCCACATTCTACCCATATTAGGGTCCTTCCCTCCAGGAAAATTGGTATTATCAGAGGCTATTGTTACTGTTCTTTACTTTAATAGCAAAGTATTGCCTGCTATTTTCTGATCTGTTTCTTCCAACTCATCCACTTGCATCAAAGATCATACCTTTTTTTTTGCCCTAATCAGTGCCCAAGAAAGCCAAACACGGCATCCCTGACTCCACATAGGAGAGAGGAGGGCATCAGTTCTGACTTCATCTTGAGAATGGCTTTTCAAAAAAAATTTTTTTTTAATTTTATTTTTATTTTATGTGTATATGTGGATTGCCTGCATGTAGGTAAGTGCACCTGTGTCCTGCAATGCCTGTGGAGGTCAGGAGAGGCTGTCAGATCCCCTGGGACTGGAGTTATGGACAGTCACATGCAGTCAGCATCTGTACTTTTTAAAAAATTTTTATTATTTTTATTTTATGTGTATGAGTGCATTGCCTGCATATAGATA